GGTGTCAATCTTGAAAACGTCTTTGGATGCCTGCCCCTTGCCCTTGCAGAGCACTGGTGTCAAGGTCTTGTCACCAGCTTCCCAAGCTCCACTTTGGAATACGGGTGGGCTGGCTTTTGGCCACAGAATGGGAAGTCCTTAAAACATACAGGCTGTCTGCTAGTACAGTTTCTGCTTTGTTTCCCACCTGTTATAATGATGCACTTAATTTTAACCTTTTTGTCTAAATGTCCTTGAATTTGTAAGACAACATAAACTGCTCGTGAAAGAGCCATGGAGGAAAGTGCACTTGACCAAAGCACTGCTCTTGGTTTCTGTAGTGCTCCTTTTCCCTTGTCACAGTGCCTCTCCTCAGTAATTTTGTAGAGTCTTTGAGCATTTTTTGTGCACATTCCTCTGTTTTAATGCCCAGTGTTTAGCGTCTTCCACCACTTAAACAATTCCAGTTTGGCATGAAGTCTTCTGCAAAAGATGCGCATATGAAATGCACAATGGCTGTGGCACTTCGCCAGCCTCTTTGAAGCAGGAGCCAGCTCTTGAGGGTCAGTCTCTTTCTTGAGAGTGTGCTCTAAAAAACTGCAGAGCTCTGTATCCAGATTCAGCCAGTAAGCTTCAATAGTCTTTGCACAGCACCAGGCTAAATCTTAGTGGCACTCAGATGTCACCAGCTGATGGTGGTTGTACTACCATAAAGCTGCAGCATTGCTCTTGAGCAAGTATTTTGCAAAACAAACTGACTTTTCCTGTGTCCCTTTGTAATGATTTTAACTGTGTAAACTCATTTGTCTGAGACAAGGCTGTGCATGTATGGCAAAGTAATACTGCCTTCAGTTTCTGAGGCTGAACAAGGGGCCATGATGAGCTTTCACATAAGAGCTTGATAGCATATGGTTCATGTACCTAAAGGAGAAAGGGAAGCAGGCTGTCTCAAGTCACATTTTGCAGGGACATAGAGGTGTATTTTTAAGTTAGAGTCCCTATTAACCACTTTTCCTCCCAAGGCCTCATGATTTTGCTGGAAGCTTTGTAATTCATGGCAGAAGAGTAGTGTGGTGGTGTGCCCTTTCCCAAGCATATCTATTTATCTGACTAGAGACTACTCAGTTTTTCCACTGCTGCAGTAGGGCAGGATTGGGTGGGAGAAGGTGCTGTTTCTGGAACTAGGACTCTCTACCCCAGCAGGGAATGATTCAGAAAATCCAGAAAAAGAGCCAAACGCCAGAGACGGCATACACTATAACATAATGCCTATATTTGGAAGCTCTAAGTCACCTTTGATTTTTATGACCTTCTAAATTTTTGTTTTCGGTGTTGGTCTCCTCCCTTATTGGACAGATTTGAATAATTCAGTGCAAGTTAAATGAGCTGTTCATGTCCAGTTTTAATGACTCAGAAGAAATCAATGTTGCCACAGACACAGCATTCTCTGTGAGTCTTTCTCTTCCTGCAGAATTATAAGGAAACAGGCATCTTTTGAAAAAATTAAAATCCTGTGACTGTGGACATTATACAGAGGATTTTGCCCAACTTCAAAACATTTGAGCCTAAGGTGAACTGGTTTGGATGAAGACATTATTGCTCTTAGCTAAATAGAATAAGAAATTAAATACTGAGAAGGAAAAGTACATTTTATCATTATATGAATTAAACTGAAATCTTACTCCCCCCCTTTTTTGATGCAGTCAACTGATTTTGGTTTGCTGTCTGTCAGAAGTGAGTTGCAACAACTGGTGTGATTTTTTTTTTGTGCATAAATATAAGGCACATACACACACACATGCTGCTCGCAGTAGTGCTCTCTTCTGTTGCCTGAATTATCATGTAGCAAAGTGTTTGTCACAGGAGCAATCAGTGAAGGTAGAGGTAGAAGTGGTGACAAAGCCTGCTGGACTGTCACTCTGAGTTTTGAATGATTTTGGGAGTTTGGCTGCATTGCCACTGCACATACCTGGTCTCTGTTAGTATTTATGTGTGGACAAGATTGCTGTGTTTAGTATAATTTAATATAGGTATTTGATTTACTGTTTCTTTATTCATTAGGCTACTATTGTGCAGTCATTATGTTCCTGGCAGTCCCAGGCCTTTTGTGGTTTCATCTCATGCATTTGGGAATTTGGGACATATTTTCAGCTGCTTGGTCTATTTTAAACTCTCTGTTAAAATTTAAAAAAAAAATAAAAAAAAAATCAACAAATAAGGGATTAGAACAGTTTGATCCTTTTGAGCCATTTGCTCAATTAACCTTTGCCTCTCAGGAATCAGCTTTGATTCTGTTCAATCAAGTGCAATGTATTCCAGCCCTTAATAACTAGCATTTCTTCTGAGGACCTTGGAAATCTTCCCTGACTTTTACTTTTCTAACTGCTGCCACTCTTTTGGCATTGCACCAGTTTGCAGAGCCCAAACTGGAGAAGGACAGGAAGAATAACAACAGGATATCAAGAGAAAAGGCCATAGGATGGCTTCTAACTTAGTCAAGTGTTTCTGAAAGTGTGGTTAGCACAGTGCTTGAGTCTTCAGTACTCTGTACCTCAGATGCAGGTTTATGAACCTAACGGTGAAATAAAGGACAATATTTACGTGTGCCTTGCGTGCACCCAAAGTGACCCTTCTGTGACTTCCTCTAGTGAAAGTTGGAGGGCATCTTCAGAGAGACTTTATACAAGTAGAAATGATGTCCTGTCTCCTTCCCCCTTACCTGAAGAAAGGAAAGAATTAGGCCCAAGATCTCTATGTGGAGAAAGAGGTAATTAGGACCCTTCCCTGTTGCTCCTAACCCACTCTCGATGATAGAACCCCTCAGAATTTGCACAAGTGTCCTGAAAAAGCATCACTGCCTCACAGCTCAGGTGACACCTTTTCTGGGTAGATGGATAAGAGTGATGTTTCTTTAGCCTCACAGAGATTCTCCAAGTTTTGTGCAGCTCCCCTCTTAATTTTACTGAGTGTGACCTGCTCTGCTTACTGATGTAGAGAAAGTCTGTATGCACAGCAGCATGGATTTCATCCATTTGGAAATACCATGGGTTGGGTGGTGTTTCCAAGGATGTGGTCAAGCAGGCTTCCAGGTCTCATTATACATGGGCATTCACATGTTTTCTGCAGTTGGTTGTGGTTTGGGTCATTGTGAGTCGGTTTTATTCCCTTGCAGAATTCTAGGAAAAAGTTTGCTGTTCTTTCAGCCTTTTTGGTTTTTCTCTCGTGCATTGGGAATACATAGTACTCAGAAGTTATGAATCATTGTTCTGTTCTTGCAATGATACAGCTGCACTGAAACCACAGCATCAGCTGAACATAAATCAGATCCTCAGTGCAAAGTTCATAGGTCCTGAAAAGTGATGGCTTTGTTGCAAGTTTAGGGCAGAGAATAGCAAGTAAAGAGCATCCCTGAACCCAAGGAATCACTGAAATAGGAAAGAAATTAACTATTTCAATTGCCTCCTGCCTGGTAATGCTGCTGTTCTCCCCCTTCAGCTCTCAGCAGTAACCATCCATAATTCATGCTTTCCCTCTTCTAGTTCCATTACAGTTTCCTTTCTCCCCATGACAAATCCTTCAATCACTCACATAATGTAATAGGATCCATGAATGCAAACATCAGGGTGGGAGTGTTTGTGTGGCCTGCACTACATTGCCAATTTGCTTGATGGATTTCAGCTTCTCTGCTCCTTCCATTTACTCCTGGTTCCCTTTCCAGCTGTGGTGCCTTGATCTGCGTTTTGGTTTCAGACCATGCTGCAGGCAAATCAGCATTGAATGACTAGACATTGAAGAATATCTGCTTTCATCCCAATGAGGAATCTGAGAAAAAATTAGCCCTAAATAAATTCACCTGTATATAGTTGTGTATATATATATATGAATATTTAAAGAATTATACGTAACATGCATATGATCTATTTTATGTGTATCTCTAGTAGAGATAGATACAAATACATTTAATATGTAGGAAATGCAGCTGCCTGATTTTATCATAATTTCTTCTTACTGTAGATGCATTTTTCTTTTCCTGAGAATCTTCCAACATATTTTGTTGTGTCATTAGCTGGCAGTTAGTCCCAGAGCAATATGGCATGGTATTCCCATCCAAGCCCATCAGCCAACTTCAGAAACTCTCTCTTCAAGCAGCCGCTACAATGTGGTAGTGGACACAGTTTTTCATTCCATTTAAGGAGTAATTGAGAAGATGCAGATGCTTTTATTGGAAAAGGAGAAACTGGGGTTTTTTTTCCTCATCCGACTTCACGGGGGTAGATGAAGGAAGTGTACGAGGCTGAAAGTCATTGAGCACACTTTTCCTTCCTCCTGCTTTTGTTTTTATGGGGGTGTGAGTGACCAGTGTCTTGGGGAGGAAAGAACTTTGTAAATGGGATATGCTAGCAAAAATAAGATGTTTTTTTATAGTGCATGCATTGATGAAAGTCTTAAACGTTGCTCCTTCACTGTAAAGGCACCCCACTTAAGTGACCCATTGCTCTGGTCAGTGTGGGCAGCCCCAAAAAAGGAGTGGCACAGATCCCTTTGCAGCCCCGAGGTGCTCAGACTTGCTCCCCCATCATCTCACCATGTTAAACATAGTCTGCTGTGCTGTTTGTGGGAGCCTGCTGTTCTTTCACCTACCCTTGTGCGAAGTAATCATCACAGGGGCAGAGTCAGGAGGAAAAGCCTTGGGTCCATTAGGCATTAGCAGCAAGGAACAACTCCAGCAGCAGGTCTGTATTTAAAACAAACAGCCAAACAGCAAAGGAACCTCACCCCCACTCCCTGTATACACACCACCCTCACCACCTCCCCCCACATTTGTTTAAGCCACAAGATTTGTGTTTTCCTGTGTTTGTCACTTTTGGGCTGTTACCTTTCCCTGCTCTCCATGTATTTCTCTAAGCATCTGGCTATGCTTAAAACAATTAGAAAACAGTTAATCACAGCCCTTAACCTCAGGCTGTTGACAGCTGGGGCAGCAGGGACCACCACAGCCCTCACAGGGAGCACAGACAGGCATGGGTGGCTTCCCCATCCTTACTGTTACTCACCCTGTCATCCGGTAAGTGCTGAAGGAAAAACGGGGGCTGTGGTGTGAATGGTGATGAGCCTGCCCGTTCAGCAGCAGAACTGGAGGCTAAGGTGAGGGATGGGGAGTGCTCCCTCCTAGGTGCCATTAGCACAGCTCAGCTGCATTTTCTTTTTTCTCTTTTTAGTCCAACTCTCATGTTTTATGCACATCTCTTAGAGCAGAATAGATTAATGAGTAAAGCCGGTTTGGATAGGTTTGCAAATACAATTTTGGTGCACAAATTTGGTGGCCCAAGTGGTTTTGTCCTGTTCTTTTTGTTAACTAGCTCGCACATGTGTCTGTCAGCAAGCACTTCAGTTACGTGCATTCATGCTCTACTCTTAGATATGTGTTTCATAAAACTTCACTGTGGGCCATAATATATTTGTGGAATCTTATCTCAAGTGCAAAGAGGAAGAGTTTGTGGACTAAAAGGAAGGGAGAAAGGAACTATTTAATGTTGCTCGAAATGGTTTGGAATTGAGAGGTTTTGGCATGGGCTATTTATAATAATGCCCGTGAGTCTAGCTGAAGCAGGATTTGGTGCAGCTGTATGCTGAAGAAGGTGACGGAAAAGCCAGAGAAGTCAAATGGCATTTCTCAATGTTGTTAACTTTAGGCTTATGCACTGGCTGATAGAAAGCATGAGGCTTTTGGAAAAACTCAGGCCTCAAGCAAAGGTATGTATTTGAGCTTTTCTAGGCCACTGTTGTGAGGCTAAGTGTTCGTTTAAACACATTTAATGCTTCACCTTTTCCTCACTTTCTCCTCTTCCCCTTTTGTTCATAATTACCAGGCTCTGCACAGAATGGAAGCCTGAGCTCCACACTGTGCTCAGCTCAGCAGACGTAGGTCACCGTGCCCATTGATGCTCTGCCCTGATAGTGGCAGCCAGGTGACCTGTGACCTGTAATGGCTGCAGTTCTAATTCTGTGGAGGGGTGGTCCAGAAACTGACTGTAATTATAAAAAACTTCCTACCCCAAAAGCACCCTTCAAGCAGATTTTGGAGGAAGCAGCTTCTCTTCCTTAGGTGAAGACCAGAGGTTCATTCTGCATGGATGGATCTGGGATCTGCCTTGTGCAGCAGTCTCAGTCTATCCCATCTGCCTTGCTGCAGAGCCATAGGTTCACTGGTTTGCAGGCAGATGACCCTGTAGCACTTCTTCAGAAAGCCCCAACATTCCCCACTGCAAGAGCAGATAGGATTTTGTGGGCAATGTGAAATCAAGCTGGGAAGTGAAGCTCAGTGCAAATTAAACGCCGTCATGATGGCTCATGGTGAACAGCAATGCACCAGCCAGCAAGGGACCTATCTGCAAGTTTGCAGCATTGCAAAAGACTGCCAAAAAGACTTAAATTACTCCTGGGTATGTGGGATTAGAAAGAGAAACCCAATGCTACTTGTTTTTGAGTGGGAAGTCTTTGAGGAAAGGATTGCAATGATACCCTGAGGCGTAGAAATGTGCTATAGGCAAATGTAGCTATAGGCATTTGCTCAGCACTGTGACTAATCTTCTGGAAACCAAAAGGAATTCCCTTAGTGGAGAATGCTGTGCGTCACCCATGGCCAAAAAAAGAGGGAGTCATGTGTTTCCTTGACAGCACATCATGTTTGCATATTTTCAGTGCTGGAGGAGAGTCCTTCATCCTGATCACTGCGTGTTTTCAAGTATTTTGAGTGTGCCTGGGGTGCCAGGATATTAATTTCAGTAGCTTTGTTTAGATAGATCATGTAAGTAATTCAGTCAGTGAGTATTTTTAATAGAATTTCAGATTCAAGCAGAGCAATTTTCATTATAGCTACTCATATGACAACTTTCTTAACCAGTATATTTTAAACCTGGTAGGTTAGAGCAGGCTCTCCAGGAACCATAAGGTTTCTTTGTGAAATATAATTTTTCTATGACTTTATTCATGAGTTAGTGTTTGCACAACACAGGTGAGGATGAACAAAATAATGCCAAGGATATATATATAAACAGAGTTCTTAAGTGTTATAGACTGCAAGAACTTGGGCTTCAGCATTGGCTTTTGGTAACTCTGTTAGCATTTCTTTTGAGATTTTTTTAATTGGAAACTTCCTCCCCTCCCCACCTTCCACCCGTTACTGACTTTATTCTCTTCTACTTTGAAATGCTTGGTGAGCAAAAAAGCTACAAACAGCAAATGAAGTTGTGAGCTGCTCTCAGTGGTTGTAAGATTGCTGATGTAGCACCTAAATAATTAGCCTGCTTTCTTTTTGAAGCATCAAACGACTAAAGAAGCAGCCTTGAAAGAAGCTGCATTTCCAAGCCGACATTGCATCAAGTAACACATACTAATGTTGCTTGGAACTGCTGTAAGAAATAGCAGTAAATAACTGGTTATCAAGAGCAATTTTCCAAATAGTGGGCTGTAATCCAGTGAACAGGGACAGCATCTGTGATGGTGCTTTAAGGAAAGAAGGAACTTACAGCTGGTTGGGTAAAGGCTGATAACTTGCATTTGCAGATTCCTTTTGACCAAGAAGGAATACCTGAGGTATTTTCAGGTGTCACTTGAGGAGAAAAGAGTAAAGTACTGGGCAAACATTGATCTCTTAATTTGTAACAGCAGAGGAAGTATTTTTCTCTCCAGGAATCAAACCAATGTTGCTCCAAATGATGTAGCAACTTTGAATTGAGATTCGATTCTGAACCTGCATATGCAGTATCTCTGCAAGATGTAAACCCTTTGTATGGGTTCTTCACCTCTGAACAAGCGTACAGCATCTCCATAATACGAAGTGAAGTAAAAAGATTCCTGCTTCCTGTTTCATTATGTGCTTCTGTGTGACTGGATACTTTGTTTTAAATAAATACATACCAGTTGAAAAAGTTCTTGTGGGAATTCACAGGTGTAAATGGGAAGGAAGGTAGGTTTTTACAGTGAGATGATGATCTTTGATGAAATTGTTACTTGGTTTTGGGGCAGTCTACATCTTTCTTCTGCAGCTATTGAGCATCAGATAACTCACAAATAACGTTCTAGAAATAAATTAGTCAATTGGTAGAAGCATCCACAGCCTTGACTGATTTGATTAAGTAGTGAAAAAGTCTTAGCTTCAGGAAGAAAATGACAAAAGTAATATGCATACCCCCAAACCACGTACACACAGACTTGAAGCTGCCTTTGCAGCAGCCCCGGTGGCTGTGAACACCCTGAATGCATCCACGTGTGTGTTAGCCTACCTCCCTCTCCCCTGTCCAGTGTTCTTCTCAAGTGCACTGCAACAGAGGTGAGTCATCCAAAATTAACAGGTGACTCCTAAATTCAGAGACAGGTCTTGACTGTGGCTGCATTATTCCTGCATGGGTTATTGGACCTTTTTCTCCAAAGTGCATCAGCTGAGGCTCCTTCTGAGTTGGACATAGCACTGCAGTGTTTTTTAAATGGAGCTGCCTTCCTTGCTTGCTGCCCAGCCCATCTTTATTTTGTATACTGGCTGAATTACAAGGAAAATGATGTTTAAAAATACCTTGTATTGGTTTTGTACTTTCCCTAAGTGCCTTCCAGTTCAGCTGAGTGTGTGTGTGTGCACCAAACAGTAACACCAAATCACATGTCCCCTGCCACCATAGTGGTTGGGCTTTAATGGAATACCTTTTTCATTCTCCTGATTATCCCATTGTTTTCTGAACCATCTCCACCCTCTTTGTCTTAGTAGTAATAGTCTCTGCAGACTAGAAATGTATTGTCTGTGGCTATTTTATAATTCATTGGATATAGGCTTTTTATGATACCTTGAAGACACTGAAAGCTACAAGTCCATTAAATTGGAAGCACATTGGTGTTTAGGGATTAGGCTGTGAATACCTGCAGTGGTAAGCCATAGAAAGACAGGACTAGAACTATGCTTTGCCAGCTGCTGTCGCAGGATGGATGTACATAATTAGCATATAAGGTTCCAGTGGATGCTCAAGAATTATGCAATATTGCTCTGGGGTTTTGAAAGGTTAATAAAACTTTTTCTATTATATCCTTTGGCAGACTTCTTTGTTGACTATTCACACCTTCTTGAATATGAGCTTTTAACTGTACTGACTTTTTACTGTGTCTGTGTGCAGGGTGGTGAGAGTAATTTAAACAATATTTATATGCATCATTTGATTCTTCTATTGCCATGCAAATGTTTTTGTATCCCTGGGTAAAGGAAATTATCCTCTGGAGCCCAAGGATAATATATTAAGTGACAGGGTTGAGGGCTGGATAAGGAAAGTGAGCCTGTGGAGTTGCAATGCAGGGCTAGAATCCTGCTTGAGTGGCTCCCATAACCTTGTTGAAGTGAATGTAATTCAGTGTGCAGGATTTAGCCCCTAGAGGTAAACTTAGAAAATATTCAGTAGGTGAAGAAATTTGGGATTGATTAGCAATGGGCATTACAAGAACAATAGTTGCGGATTGTCTTTCCACCATACTTTTAAACAGTGGTGCACATTTCCCTCATGTCTCCCTCAAATTTCTTGAGCTGGGCTGTCTTAATCACTGCACCTCATATTTAATGTAAATCCTTGGGAATGGCTTTTTGGGACTCATAGAAACCCATTGACACTGAGGAACAAAGTTGACTACAACTGATGGAAATGTCTAGAATATTTTTCTGTGTTTGTCATTCAGAAGTTCCTTTGGTGTTAATTTGGGATATTACAAAAGTAATGACTGATGCAGTTTCTCTGTAAGGTGAATTCAGACATGCTTGTAATTTGGAAACCAAAAAATCTGCTTGTGATGCCTAATTCAAGGCAAACAAAGTGACATTGTCTCTCTTTCTCTATTTTGTTACATCATGAGCATTTCTTGTATTTCTTTTGTCAAGAGAGAAGATAAAATGAGAGCTTTAGTTCTGCTGTTTCTTTGATTTCTGTAATGCTTGCAGTGGAGTGATTAATTCTCTTTTTCTCTCTGTTTTTTCTTACAGTATCAAGCTTCTGGCTGTGCAGGAGCTGGCTGACAGAGAAGCATTGGAAAAGGTATTAAAAAATGCATCTACTGCAAATATTGTAATGCGTTTAAGCTCTTAAAGCTGTGTTAGTTGTGCTTCCTAACTTCATGGAATACCATGCTGCATAGAATAGGACATCTTCCTAGCTACATAGTGCATGAAGGCAGGGGGTCAATATTTTGTCTAATCTGACCACGTGCTTTTGGTGTTTTCTGATTTTACAGCAAGTTTGGGGTAAGCAATGCGTAATAATAAGCAGTAACTAATAAAATACAGTGTTGCCCTTCACCCAAGGGTATTGCAAACACAGCAGGCTCAGGTCAGGTACACAGAAGAAATTCTTTACTGTAAGGGTGAGAAGGCACTTGAACAGGTTCCTCCTCAAGCCTGTGGATGCCTCATCCCTGGAAGTCTTCAATACCAGGTTGGATGGGGCTCTGAGCTACCTGGTCTGGTCAACAGGTGTCCATGCCCATGTAGGGGGGTTGGATCTAGATGATCTTTTAAGGTCCCTTCCAACCTAAATTGTTCTATGATGGCCTTCTTCTGGATGAAGAACCAAATTTCTTACTACTTTATGATTCTTCTGGCCTGGCACGACCAGTACCATGGACTCCCAGTGCCCATACTGGGACCAGTGGCTTCACTTTCTATGCTACTTCACCTGCAAGAGCAAGGAGCCAGCTGTGAGGAAGCATGGGAAACTTTTTAGGATGCAAAGAAAACAACTGGATTCTGAGCCCTGTTGTAAAAATTGCTGTCTTAGAGCGGGCACTGAGCTGGTCCTGACCCAAGCAGCCCCTCTGTACCTACAGGTGGCGTGGCAAGGCTTGGGGAGGAAGGAGCAACTCTTCTCCTGGCTTGAACACATCCTTGTCTGTGTGTAAAGGAGGAGGTCCTGCAGTTCTGTGTTCAGGCTGCACCTTCTGGGTACTCTAGACATAATGAGTAAAATGAAATACAGCAGCAATGGGTGCTTCAACCTTGTGTTTTGCCACTGACTAGAGATGCATTTCACCGAGGTCCTCCATACACCCCAGTTAATTCACACGGGGCATCTCTTCTCTGGTGTTCGTGTACTCTGATTTTGACATGAAGAGGTAGATTTTGGTAATGGGCAGTAATGGAGGACTATGCAGGAAACATTGCCGTTTTTTGCACCTGAACAGGACATGGTTCTCAAGCACTCATTGTGTAAAACAGGTTGATATTAGCAAGTTTTCATAGTTTGTAGCAGTCAGATTTTGTGGCTCCTCACACTTGTACACTTCCCACCTTTCCAACGGACCCATCCCTCCATTTGGCCCAATGCCTCCAAAAACATGGCCTGGCAAGGTTAAGTGACTTCAGCCTGGTGGGAGTGGCAGTTTGAGGCATTGTCTGGAGCGCTGCAGGAAGCTCTTCAGAAAGGCTCAGCCTCAGAGAAATGATCTTTCTAAATTGAGCGCTCTGAATATTTGATATCTGCTTTCATGCAATGCCAAGCTTAAAGAATTTAAAAAGGCCGGTTTAGCCCTATGGAAAATAACAGGCTTGAATTATGTAAGTTCAAAGAAATTTGCTTTATTTTTTAAGTACAGGAGGGGAAAGAAACACACAGAATAGAACAAAATGCCTTGTCCAGCCTGCTTGCAGAGTCAGGTTTTGGGAACACTGTGCTGAGTTTTGTATTCTTAAGTAATTATTTATCAGCATTATACTGCAGGAATACAGAATATTATTAAAATATAATATCTGAATATTTATTCTAAGGTGAGTTTTCTTGGTTTTCGAAGGGAAGGTTTCCTTTAAAGTAGCTCTGGACATAACTTGAAACTTTTTCCTGTAGGACACTTTCCAGTCTGTCGTAGATGGTTTTTAACTTCGGAATTTTTCTTGTTCCTAAAATTTGCTGTCCAGCTTTGAAAGTGTTCCTATATATTTTTGACACTTGCATGGAATCCCAGAGTGAGCAGAAGCTCCCTGCTGAACAGCAGTGCCCCCCTGAACAGGCTTGGGGGCTGCAGATTAGCTCTATGAAATCACACTGAAGTTAAGCATGTGCAGCTAGTCTCTTGAGAACCAGGGCCTCGAGATAAAATGATATTATATGTCATAAAATTATTCTGGCCATGAATAACACAAGGGGCCTGTGAGGTGAGGCACATGAAGCCAGTGCACTGTTGGAATAGGCTGGGAGAACTTGCTTGAACTATTGAGGTCTTGCTTTCTGGAAAAGGATTTTGTGTCATTCTATCTTAGGTACTTAAATATCTTTAAATGTTTCTCCCACCTTGGCTATTGAAAATGAACTGGACACACTGTGAGAAGGTTTGTGTCCTGCAAAGACACCGTTTCTTTAATTTCCTAAATCCCAATGTTTTGGCAAATTGGGCCAAAATGGCCCTTTAAGCCAAAGATCTACTGCACTTGGTGGCATTTATGCCTGGCGTTGCCCAAACAGGAGGCTTGATTGGCAGGGTTTAATTACAGCCTGTCCTGGATTGGGACAAGCTTGACTGACCCTTGGATGCTGCTCATGAGCTGTTTTTTTTTTTTATGGGGTGCTACAGGTTCCTGTAAGGACCACAGACAGGGTGCTTGTGGAGCTGAACTTCCGCACCATGCTTCTTGTTAGGAGAAATGGGAAAATAATAATTAATTTCCGTGAACCAGGTCACTTAAAAAGAACAGGAGCCTTAACCTGGAGAAAATTCTGGGTCAGAGGTGGGTTGTTTGTGTTTGTTTTGGCCATAGCCTATCAGATTCATTCCAGCACAGGCTCCACGTGAGTAATCTTGCAGGCAGCTTAAAACCAAGCCCATGCTTACCTGTGTTTTGTCCTACCTTGAGCCTTCAAATCGATGTGTTTGCCTCCCCTGCCCTCTTGCTGAGCTGGCCCTGCTGCTGTGGGGCTGCGTTACTTCCATGCCTTCCTTTCAGAAGTGCTGCTGGTGTTTGCTGAGGGCAGGGAAGAGCACAGATGGCAAGATGCCATTGGGAGGGCTCCCAGCTGTGCCAGCCTTGTCCCCACAAGGGTTCAAGGCCGCTCAGGCTTTAGAAAGAGGTATCCCAGGCACGCAGGCTTGTCGGTGCTGAGCCCTGCATGGAACATCTCTTCCAGAAGCACAGCTCTGGGAGACACTCCCAGTGACACTCTTGCCCCAGTGTGTTTGAGTACTTTATCTAATTTTGGCAAGTCCTTAATTGCAGAAGAAGAATTCTACTTGGCAAATGTTAATTGTATTTATTTGGGGTAGGGGAAAAAATAATTCTCCCAAGGAACATGCTGTTTTTATAGCTTAAAAATAAATCTGTGTAAGTAATTAGGTTGAACTGCCTAGCCAGGTGACATTTCACATTGGTTACTGTTTTAGCATTTAAATCCGTAGCCCTTTTCCATAGGGAAGCATGTGCACCAAAGCGATTGTTCTCATTGGTGCTTGATGCCAGTAAGTTGTGCTCCTGCACATATAAGAGTTATACATCTTACAAGAAAAATAAAAATATTCTCTGCATTCTAAGCATTTCCTCCTGTATTTTTCAGGAGTTAGGAGGGGCTCTTGAGCTCATTTCTCCTTCAGAGGTGGGTTATAGAGGAAAGTGAAATAATTTGTATAGTTTAATAATCCCCTGACAGCTTTTTAAAAGGTAAGCCTGCTTTGTGAACAAGCAACAGCAACCCATTATTTTTGTAATTTGTGTATTAAAACATAAATACATCTGCTGTTACTCAAGATGACAAAGGACTGACCACTTGACAGAGAAGTTTGTTGGCTTCTCATTTAGGAAACACAAATCATGTGATTTTGATCTGCAGTTTGTAAAGTGTGGAATTCATCTGCAAAGAGATAATTGTTTTGCCTGAAGTTGGAAGAGATCTACTTAGACTGCTGTGAAGCACACTAGGTGGACTGAAGGACAGTAGAAATTGGGGTGAGAATTTTGATTTTGTTTGGGGATGATGTTCTTGAAGTTGACAATAACTTGCAGCTAGAAAATCAGTGTAAGTAACACAAGTTTCACTATTAAAGTCTGCCTATAACAATGATGTCAGATTTATGTGAGCTACGTCCAAGAGGTCAGTGAAAACAAAGTGAAAAGAACAAAACAATTATCAGTAGGCTTTCACTGTCTGTGTAGGGATTTTCGCCTTCACTGGAGAAGTTTTGGAGGTCACAAATCAAGAGACATTGAAAGTCTTTCACCTGGTGCCTCTGAAGCACAGAGTGCATTCTCTGGACACGAGGACAGGCAGCCATGCATCTTCTCAATACAGGAAGGGACCTCTTCTGTCTGCTGGCCTAACCTTACTGGGTCATCCACTGGGAATTTCTGCTGGAGATGATAGAATGAGGAACCTTCTCCTCCAGGTAGATCCCCCCTGCATCTAAAGAGCTATTTCTCTTTCTTCATATTTACACTGTTACATTAAATGGAAAACTTAGCTCTGTAAGCAAGCAATCTCTACAATCTGTGCTCATTGTTTGACTTTTCCCACCTCATTCAGCAGTACTAATGGCTGGAGTTGTCTTCCATGATGTGGAATCAGTTCCCTGGATTTCCTCACCCAGAGGAAAGACCAGATGTCTGTATCTGGGAAATACTTGCTAAATTCAGCCCCTTCCCATCACACAGAATTTTCACACTGTACGTGAGGAATCAGTGAAGCACAGCTGGGGTGATACTGAGGAGGTGGCATTCTTTTACTAGAAGAAACTTAACATGCCTGCCATTGATTAGAAGCAGCTTTTGTGTCAGGGGAAATTCAGTGACTACTGTTGCACAATTTTACAGGGTAAAATTCCTACAGATGTAGGAGATGAGGCAAAAAAGGGGGGTTTGTTTCTTTTTAGTAGCATTGCTCTGCTGGTGCAATTTCAGCTGCAGTCAAAAAGAGGTTTGTAAAATGCTGAGCTGCCCTGTGTGTTCCCTGCTGTAGCCGCCTTGTTTTTACACAGCACATGGAGAATTTTAACTAAAAATTTGCTTTTGTTTTCTTAATCCAGTGTACTGTTTCCTCCAGATATTATCAGAACATAAAAAGTA